CAGAGGCCATGTCGGTGTTCCATTGAACCCAACCATTGGGCCATTGGATTGTTCCATATCATCTGGGTGAAGGCCGAGCTCCTTATAACATCAGACGTACATGATGTCGCAAGAGCTGCCTTGATCAATCAGGATGCGTTTCACTTGGCACTCCCCAACCTAGAGGGATACTATTAAGGCGTCATTATGCGGATGCTGGACCATCTCTAGGTCGGCATCAGTAAAGGTTATCATTGGTCTTTGGCATTCTTCTGCCCGATGTCTTTTCTCCCCGACTTGGTAGACATGTTGCAGGTGCTTCACTTTTTGGGTCTCTCATCGGATTTTGTTTTCGTTGACCTTCGAGTGGATTACGTTGATTATTCGAGGTCCTCCTGCCTGCGGCTGTTGTGCTGGGGGAGGTGGGACTGCTGGTGCCTGAGGCAATCTTGCCCGTTCTTCCCTTGTCCTGGTCTCATCGACAAGGTTTCTCAGATGTCCTTGCCTCACCAGATCTTCCAAATATATTTTCAGGGCTCTATAACCCTGAGTTGTATGTCCATCTTCATTATAGTAGGCACAATGCCTGCCAATGTTTCTTCCCATGAACTCTCCTAGAGTCCTTTCTGGTGTTCTAAAATAGGGCTGGTTCCGAATTTGATCCAGGACTTTAGGAATTGGGATTCGGAACACAGTTGTTACCGCTTGTGTGGCCCTCAGTTCTGCCTCTTGCCTGTTCGTTCCATTGTTATCTCGGCCTCGCTTCGACGAGCCGTTTCCTTTCTCTTGTTTTATCTCCCTAGTTCCTGATGTGTCTTCCTCGGCTCTGGTGTACTTCTCGATTCTTTCCATGAGCTCCTCCATACTTATCGGCAATGTCTTTGCCAAAGACTTTCGAAGTGGACAGTTGTCTTTCAAGCCGTTCTTGAAAGATACGACTGCCACCTCTTGATTACATTCGGGTATTCGATTGAATACCTCATAGTATCTTTTTGCATAGGCCCTAAGGCCTTCATATTTGCTGATCTTCAAAGCCATCAATGCGTCCACCCTTAATGGCTGCAGCTTGTTTGTCACAAAGCTGACCACAAACATCTCGGCCAGGCCTTCCCAAGTCTTCACGCTTCCCTTCGGTATTTTGTGGAACCAATCTGATGCAATCTCCCCAAAGGATGAGGGGAACACTTTGCAGAGCAACGGCTCATTCCCACTATACAATGCCATTGAGTTCAAATATAGTCCAACGTGGAAGTTGGGGTCTGACTTTCCATCGTATATTTGAAACCTCGGCATACTGAATCTCTTCGGCGCCTCAAACTTGTTTAATTCCACCGAGAATGGTGTCCTCGGCTTATCTAGGGAGGTTACCTCGGCGTAGGCATTCTGTTGCTTCATTTTGAGGTAATCTCTTAAGTCTTCTTTGCTCCGCCCAGGAGCTCGGCTATCCTTTGACTTTAGTCTTTTTGGTATACTACTCTCGGCCTCGTGATGAGCCCTTTTCGACCCTTCTCCGTGAGTTGTGTCGAAGCATAATGCTTGCCCCTAAACATGCCGATGTCCTTTGGGGTCTGCTTCCCTTGTGTGATGCGTCCTCTGTGATTTTTCTCTTCTTGACATCCGACCTCCCTAGAAGGTCGGTGAGAGTGTCTTTCATTTCCGTTGTGCTGAGGGGCTATGGGGATTGTTTTCTGCCCTCCCTTCTGTGTATTGGCCACTGGAATCGGTGTGTCGTGCAGCGGGTATGGTGGCTGCATGACGTTATTTTGCATCATGAAATTGACGACCGACTGCAGGTCTGTCAATTTGTTTGCCATCTCTTTTACCTCTTCGTCCCTCCGTAGGCACCTATCCTTCCAAACCTGGAGGTCGTCTTCGTTGTAGTACCTGCTTTGATCAGGTTTCTTTGGTGCGTCGCTAGTCTGGCCGACGTCTTTCGCTCCGTGATTTTGTTCATGAGTTTCTGCGTTCAACCTTCCTCCTTCGCCATCAAGGTCAATAGGTCTCCTACTCCCAGTAGGAGTGTCGTCCCCAATCTTCTCCTTCTGTCCGTTACTGGCCATCTATTCTACTTTCGTTCCCACAGACGGCGCCAAATTGTGTGAGTGATTTTTTGACCACACTGCCCGCTTAGTAACCAGTTGGAGAGAACCGGCAGAATAGATGACACTTGGCTGACCGGCAACAAAAAAAGAAGATTCCAGCGGTGGTTTCGACCACCCGGGGGCACTCCGACAATCAAATTAGTATATCTCTCAAAGGTAAATCAAGTGCTAAAATTAATGCTCAAAGCATAAAATTACGTATCTTAGACCCACGGGGGTGCCTCTCTTTTATAGTTACCTCAATCCTAATCCCAATAGAAGCTTGATTTCTATGGATTCCTGTTTAATACTTACTTTGGACTCCTTCAGAGATAAAGATAAACTCCCTAAGAGCTTTATCCTTATCTTGGCTAAGTCTCATCTTTATTCTAGGACTCTTGTCCCTTATCTCTTATCCGCTTATCTCGGATTCCGATATCTTCGGAGATAATCTCGGCTTGACCGAGATCACCTCGGCGTCATGACCCTGACACGTGGCACCTCGACTGACACGTCGGCGTCACCTTGCCACGTGTCGATACTCAAAAATATATCCCCACAGATATTGACTCCACAATTTGGGTAAGTTTTTTTTGACAATTTTTTCTAGGTCTCTATATTTTCTAAGGAAAATGTTTGAGGGCCACAATTTTTGTGGCTCAAATGGCTCAAAATTGTCAAAACGACGTCGTTTTGACAATTTTGAGCCATTTGAGCCACAAAAATTGTGGCCCTCAAACATTTTCCTTAGAAAATATAGAGACCTAGAAAAAATTGTCAAAAAAAACTTACCCAAATTGTGGAGTCAATATCTGTGGGGATATATTTTTGAGTATCGACACGTGGCAAGGTGACGCCGACGTGTCAGTCGAGGTGCCACGTGTCAGGGTCATGACGCCAAGGTTATCTCGGGTAAGCCGAAGTTATCTCCGAAGATATCGGAATCCGAGATAATCGGATAAAAGATAAGGGACAAGAGTCCTAAAATAAAGAGAAGACTTAGCCAAGATAAGGATAAACCTCTTAAGGAGTTTATCTTTATCTCTGAAGGAGTCCAAAGTAAGTATTGAACAGGAATCCATAGAAGTCAGGCTTCTATGGAGATTAGGATTGAGGTAACTATCATAAAATATATATGTTTTCTTACAATTTTTTTTAAAGTTTAGTTATACATAACTTTTAAGTGCACATCATAATTTTACCATTCTTAATTTCATCACAAAAAATTCATAATTTTTCTCACAAAAATTATGCAAGTGCACATTATAGCCTTTTCATATTATAATTAGGGAAATTCTAACATACACTCCCTTAACAAAAATGCCTAAGACCCCCAGTGGGGGTCATGTACGGAGGCTTCCCATTGGTTAAAAAAAAAAAAAACTATTTTTTTTTTTTGTGATTTGGACGAATGGCATGCTGCCACCTCACTGGAGGTCGACCCCCAGTGGGAGTCTGTAGCAAAGTCCCTCCCTTAAAAGGGGTGTACCATATGCACCCTTAATTATGTCATTTTATTCTTTAGTTATGATCAATTTTCTTCTTTAGTTTTGACTTTATTTTATGACTAATGATATCTTTAGTTATGCCTCATATTGTAGTTAGTTATGATAATCTTTTTTAGTTATAACTCAAAAAGTATGAAATTATGTTATTTTCTTCTTTAATTATAAGATGCATATGGTACACACTTTTTGAGAGATATGTAGCATAGTGTTTCCCTATAAAATGACTTTCCTATTAAATTGGGTTTGGATCTTTTATAAGCTAAAATTTTACAAAAAGATAAAATACGTTAAAATAGTCAATAAGACAAAATGTCACATCAAATTCATAATCATTTCATTTTTTCTCTCACAAACATTACATTCAACTATAAAAAAATCCAACCTTTTTCTCAAATACAACTATTCAATCTACTAAAATAGTCAAAAACTAAAATAGCCTACTAAAATAGCTAACTTTCCAAATGAGGCCTACATTGTAAATAAGAGCTTGTTTGGGAAGAAGATTGGGGCTAAAATAGTCGTACAAGACAAAATAGGCTATTTTAATCAAATAAGACAAAATGTCACATGCAAGCCATAATCATTTCATTTTTTCTCTTAAAAAAGTCAAAAAAAAAACCAAAAAACTTATCCTAAATTAGATTTTTTAACCCTAGGCTAATAGCCAAAAAGTCAAAAAGTCGAAACACATCCCAAATGAGCTCAAAGGAAAATTCTATTATATACACCCCTATCATATGCACCCCTAAGTTATGCAATTCTCTTATTTAATTATGACTAATTTTATTATTTAATTATGATTTTATTTTAATTATGACTCGGAAATTTTTTTATTATACCTCGTGTTATTTATTTATTTATTTATTTTAGACAGGCACCTCGTGTTATTTAGTTTGTTTTTTAGTTATGACTTTTTTTTTTTTATAGTTATAACTCAAAAAGTATAAAATTATATAATTTTTTTAATTATAAAATGTATATAATACATATTTGTTGATATATGTACCATAATTTTTCCCATAAATAAATTATTGAAAGAAAAAAAGAAAAAGAATTCTGAAAACCCAATTGATCAACCCCACCCCCATTTTTAATAAACAATGTTATGAAGACTGTTTCTGTAGCCGCAAAGCTCATATTCTACGGTAGAAATGTTTGGAAAATTGAGTTTAGGTCAAAATAATCAATAAAGAGAGAATATGTTAAAATAATTAATAATATAAAATTTTATATTTAAATTATAATTTTTTATTTTTTATTTTTCATCATCACTAAATTAACTAAAAAAAATTAAAAAAAAGGGTCAATTATCATCTTAAACAATTTTTTTTAATAAATTAAAATAATAAAAAAACAAAAAACAAAAAAAATTAAAGAACCAGCATATTTTCAAACGGGGCCTTGTCTCATCTTCCCTTGCAGGGTTGTTTCTTGAACTCGCCGGCTATATCATCTATGTATATGTATATATTTGTCTCTTTCAATCCAAAAAAAAAAAAAAACACGGCATTTCGAACATAGTCGGCCATGTCCAATTCCATAACAAGAAGTTAAAAAAGGACTCTCTCTTTCTCTCTAACTAACCAGAGACAGAGAGCTACCATTTATGCAACAGAGAAACCCAACAAGAAACAGAGTCAAAGACATTATGTTCTCTGTCAAATCACCCTCTTTTCTTCTTCTACCAGTCTTCCTCACATTCTCTTCAACCTTCTTTTATTCATACTCTGATGGAGCTTCTCAGAATCTTCACCTTCAAACCATTCACATTTCAGGCAATTCTTCTTTTCCTTCTTCTTTACACGTCCATTAACTAATTTCTTTTTGAAAAAAGATGTATAATCGATTGTGGTGTTTTTTAATTGTAGGAATAGCCAATGAGAGTGAATATGGAGTGGTTTCGTGGGGAACGAGGAGGTCTGTTCTTGAGGGACCATCTTTGATTTTGGCTGCTGAGAGAACGCACAGGAAAGATCCATTTGATAATTTCAAGTACTACACTGGTGGATGGAATATTAGTGATCATCATTATTTCTATGTAAGTCTCTTTAAACCCTTGTTTCATTTCAGTGTCATGGTTTCTTTTCTTGTCTTTGATATTGTGATGGTTAATGTTAAATTCTAGATCAGTTATCTCTTATGGGTTGTGTGTATAAATAAGGTTTCAGTTTATTTGATTCTTTGATTTTGGCTGGAGTTGTAATATTCTTAGAAATTTTGTATTGATTGAGTTGTTCTTTCACTTGGATTTCCCTCTTTTCTCTTTCTTTTAATTTTACATTGATGAAAAATTTTAGAGTTCCTCAATAGAATCCCTCATCTTGATTCTTTAAGATCCATTTAACAATTTTAAGTACTACATTGGTGGATGGAATATTAGTCAAACTATTTCTATTAAGTCTTTCAAAACTTTGCCCCATTTCAAAATCAGTTTTCTTCTTTATCTTTTCAAGGGTTTTTCATAATTTTTGTGCTTATAGACCCTTGTTTCATTTCAATATCAGTTTTTTTTTTTTTTTTTTCCCCACTGATTTTGTGACAGTTAATTATAAGTAAAATTTTATGTCATTTGTCTCATATTGGTTTTATGTATTAATAAGTTTTCAGTTTATTTGATTCTGTAATTTGGGTTTTGGCTGGAATTGTGACATGCTTAATTCTTTAATTTTGGTTTTGTGTATTTCAGTTTTTTGATTCTCCAATTTGGGCTGGAATTGTGATATGCTTAGAAATTTTGTATTAATTGAGTTGTTCGGGTTTCCCTCTTTTCTCTTTCTTTGATTTTGCATAGGCAAAAAAATTAGGGGTACTCAATTGAATCCATCGTCTTGATGTTTTGCATCTGTCATCTCGTATTGTCATCTTCTATATGTGAGCTTTTGCTGTGAAATTCAGTTTTGTAATCAGTGATGAATAGTGATTTTGGTTCTTCTCACTTTAATGTGGTTACTAACTAGCTATTTGATTCGTTTACTACATGTTCTTTAGCCAGACCCCGCTTTAGCTCACGCATCGTTTCTTGAGTCGCCTTTCTTTATTTTCTTTTATATAACATGAAAATTCCTTACCCTGAATTATTTCTCAGGCACTCTTTGTAATATGACTTTCCTCTTTACAAAAAAGAAAAAGAAAAAATAGAGTACTGATATATGTTGACAAATTTAGCACATTCTCTCTCTAAAAGTTGTTCTCAATGCAGTCTGTGGCTTTTACTGGTGCTCCCCTCTTTGTTATTGCTGCAATCTGGTTTGTGGGATTTGGCCTCTCTCTGCTCCTCCTCTGTCTCTGTTGTTGCTGCTGCCAACGTCGATACTATGGCTATTCTCGAACAGCTTATGCGCTCTCTCTCATTTTTCTGACGTTGTTCACCATTGCTGCAGTGTATCTCTCTCTCTCTCTCTCTCACACACACACACACACAATACCTACGAGTTTAAATTGAATATTTGGATTTGGATCGATTTATCTGAGAGTCCATTGTTGTTCTATGTTTTTGATTTCAGCATTGGATGCGTTGTTTTGTATACTGGACAAGGGAAGTTCCATACTAGCACATCGAATACATTTCTCTCTCTCTCTCTCTCTCTCTCTCTCTCACACACACACACACAATACCTACGAGTTTAAATTGAATATTTGGATTTGGATCGATTTATCTGAGAGTCCATTGTTGTTCTATGTTTTTGATTTCAGAATTGGATGCGTTGTTTTGTATACTGGACAAGGGAAGTTCCATACTAGCACATCGAATACATTGGACTATGTCGTGTGGCAAGCTAACACCACTGTTGAGAGTCTTGGGAGTGTATTGGATTATCTTGAAGCAGCTAAGCATATCAGAGTGGATCAACTTTTTTTGCCTCCTGATGTTCAAAACAACATCAACAAGGTTGAAACTGACATCAATACTGCTGCTACAACTCTTGAACATGAGGCAAGGAGGAACCAGAAGGATATACAGAGCGTTCTGAACTCCGTGTGAGTATATATATATATACTAAAAGGTGTGCATACTAGATAGGTGTGCTATGAAAATTGACCGCTTAAATGTAGGAGGGAAAAAAAACTGAAAAATTATCGAAATTTAAAATTCAAAATCAAAATCAAAATTAAAAAGTTTGACAGGTTGGCTCTATATAATAGGAAAAAAAGAAAAATTTTACAGGAGCAATTTGTTATTTTCTTGTGGGGTTAACCTAAAATTAAAGGTCTTCACCGTGCACTGCAGGAGGCTGGCTCTCATCATAATTGCTGCTGTAATGCTTCTCTTGGCTTTGCTCGGTTTCTGTAAGTCTTTTGATGCACACAAAGCAAATTAATCCTGTGTAACGTGATTGTCGATGATTTTACCTAATGTTTTTCATTATTGGTGCAGTATTCTCGGTTCTTGGCTTGCAGTTTTTTGTATACATGTGAGTGAGATGAGGGCAAACATTTCAATTTCATATTTAATATCCCACTTATTGGTCTTGCTAGTTTTTGATGTTTTCATTTTCATGATCCTTTTCCTTTCTTCCTATTTTATTTCTAAAAACACATATAAAATCTTTGCAGTTTGGTGATGATCGGGTGGATTCTCGTTGCTGGCACCTTTATCTTGTGTGGTGTGTTTCTCGTGCTTCATAAGTATGTTCTATTTATATTGTTATAATTTTCAATTTACTGAATCATATTTTAGCAATGCCTTCTAATTTTATGTTGATGCTGTGAATCCCTTTTGTATTTTGATAAAACACTCATATACCTACCTACAAATATAGCAAGTCAATAAATGTTTGTTTCTATTACATCACAAGTCACTATATTGCTAGCCAAACATACCCCAAAAACGGAGTCTAGTTTCTTTGTGAAAACAGGAGATAATCAATTATCATAATAGTTTTCGGGCTCAACAGTTGGAAAATGTAACTTAGTCTAACATTACAATTATGCTGATGAAACTTAGTAAGATTGATGATTATGAGATGTTTAAATCTTGCTTTTATCAAGAATCAACAACCCACACACAAAGAGGGAGCAGTTACAATGTTGATAATTTGTTTAGAAAAAGGAAACTGTAGATTCTATGCACTTTGGGATTCGAGTAGCTATATAAGAGATCCACTTTAGGAATTGCCTATGGGTTTATGCTATAAAGTCGAGCAGAGAAGTCTGGCCGGGAAACAATCATCAAGTCATTCCACATTCCACAATTTGTAGAGAATTTTCGCCAACTTAAAATTTGAAAATAAAAATTATTGATATGAAGATACACTACTAATTGCGTTACATAGGTAGTTGATTATAAAGAGTGGAAAATTTAGAAATTGTCTCAAGGGTACTTTAAAAGACTTGAAAAACATATGAAATGTCAATTTAGAGCATCTCCAACGGTAGTAGACATTTTACCTATCTAAATATTACTATAAAGTATATATTTTATTTTGCCTATCAACTGTTTTATGTTTTTACTCCAACCATGCTCTTTATTTTAACTATTTATCCAAATACTATTAATTTTATAGAATGCCACGTCAACAACAAAGATTGAGGGAAATGATCCTAATGATTGAATACATTTTGCCTAGCGTTGAAGGTTAGCTACATGTAGCTAGTGAATATGAGTTGAGCCAAAATGCCTAATCATATGCCTAGTGCATTGGAATTGAAAAAAGTGAATCACACTAGGTATTTTAACTAACAAATATTATATGCTTAGTGCATTGGAGACGCTCTTAGATGGTATAGAGTGCCAAGCAGATCACTAATCTATTCTATTATATAAAGCACACAAGTCAGAAGCTTTGTCACGCTTTTTTGTTTTTTCAAAATACCCATGAAATAGATATCTACTAAAACTTCACATACCATAACTGCTAAATGGTTGTCAAATCCAATCCCATTCGTTAACCACCTAAAAGTTTAGATGTACAATTGCAAATGCATGACGCTATTATATGCACATTTGTGCTTGTCCTTGGCAAGCATACACTGGGACATAATATCATTGCATTAACTGTTTCTTGTTCTAAATCATTAGTAACTCTTATGCACACTTGTGCTAGTTGGTATCAAGCGCACACTAGGGCATAATTACATCTCATAAACACGTTGTGTCTCTCTTGACATTGACAAACGATTAATATCCTTCCCAAGTTAGCTGTTATTATTTGTTGTTCCTTTATTGTTTTTGTCTTTTAAAGGAATATCTAAAACATTTTTTCGACAAATTCAAGTGTGATGGGGGACGCATGTGTTGCGATGGACGAGTGGGTCCAAAACCCCACGGCTCATACAGCTTTAGATGATATTCTCCCATGTATGGATAATGCAACTGCCCAAGAAACCTTGTCTGAAAGCAAAGAAGTTATATTTCAACTGGCTGCCATAGTTAATCAGATCATCACCAATGTGTCCAACAATAATGTACCCCCACCCCCACCCTTTGCTCGACCCCCTCTTTATTACAATCAATCTGGACCTCTTGTGCCTGTCTTATGTAACCCATATAATCCTGACAAGTCTGACCGGAAATGTGCAGCCGGTGAAGTTGATTTCAGCAATGCAACACAGGTACTACATCTTTGAAGAACATTGCAATCAAAATGAACAATTGAAAGTGTCAATTCACAAATTTTTTATAGGAAAATAAACATTGCTTCATGATTTTATGGTTTAACTCTATTTTTCCTTTAAAAGTTCAAGTGTACCATGATGTATTTCTTAAAGCTATGTTTGGATCTTGGATTTGTAGAGGAAAAAGAAAAAGAAAGGGAAAGAAGCTTCTGCTTCATATCTCTCTACCTGTTCTTTTTTTTTTTCCCTTCACAAATCACTCTACAAATCTAAGTTCAAATACAGCCTAAAACGAGCATTCATTTGAATTTGATTATGTTTTCACCAAACAAAAACCCAAAAATCATGTTTATGTGACCAGTTATTCTAGGTTCACAGAATCCCAATCACAGAATCGGATACAACTCTCTCACAGAGGGTGGGACCCACACATTTCACGGGTCCTACCTCATGTGAAAGAGTTGTGTCTAATTTTGTGCTCCGATTATGTGCATTTAGAATTATTCTTATGCGATACTAAAAAATTCCATTATTCATCATGTGCTTCTTAAAGTCTCTTCTCAACACATTGTGCTATGTGCATAAACTACTTCTCGGTATATTAACACATTCTCATTAGAATTCACAAAAATACACCTTTTTTTTTTTTTTTGGCCTTCTTATCAACTAAGCTCAATATAAAAGCAAACCAATAGATGGTCACAATCCACATTTTGTTGTTCTTAATGCAGGTTTGGAAGAATTACGAGTGCCAAGTGTCAAAGAACAATACTTGCATCACCGTGGGGCGCTTGACCCCCGACATGTACACGCAGATGACTAATGCAGTCAATGTGAGCTATGGTCTGTATCATTATAGTCCATTCCTTATCAGTCTACTAGATTGCAGTTTCGTTCGCGAAACATTCACTGCCATAAGCGACGATCATTGTCCTGATTTGAGGCAATACAGCAAGTGGATCTATATTGGATTGGCCATGGTATCGGCTGCAGTGATGCTTTCTTTGGTCTTCTGGATACTTTATGAGAGAGAGAGACGACACCGGAAATATACCAAACTTGCCAAAGCTGCAGCTGCTGAAGATTCTTTCCAACAGAAAAGGCCATGATGAATTTTGGAGTGTTAGTTGGTTTTTTTATAATGTTAGTTTCAAAACTATGTACATGTTGAGTTCAAATTGGATCGCTCTATTTGCAATGCATAGAGATCTTGCTTTCAGCTTGATGATATTATTATGCAATCTACTAAAATTTGTTTCTTATTGCATTTGACAGACATTATAGTAACTAATTGTTCCATAGTGAAAATGTACATTTTTAGACGTCAAAATTGAATTCTCAATAAGGGTATATATGTAATGGTTGGGTTAGCATTGTGGAAATGGAATATTAAGGAAAATACAGCTTCATTAATATTGTCTAAGATCCAATAATTGAAATTATCATCTTGATCTTCAGTAATAAAAAATAAATAAAATTACGGTATTCTTGTGAAGTTTGGTTCTTCTCATACTCTTTTAAAATTTGAGTGGAAGCTGAAACATAATAGACTAAAGTGGAACTTTGAGGGAAAAGTGTAATTTGACTTGTAATTTTATTCTTATAATGCCCCTAAAACATGCTTACGACGTTTTCACATGAGCACTTTCCTTCAAAATTTTTACATTGAGTGATAGGAGGACCACATTGAATAACATTTTAATGTCTTAGGATTTAATTGTTGCAACTAGAAGCACTTGATGGATTAAAACAAACATAAAATTTAAGTCAAAGTTAGAGGATAAAAGTAATAATTTACCTGAACGATAATGTTTCAGGACCAGAATTGATGCATCTCATCGTTCAAATCTTAGATGACAAACATGAAAAGCAGTAATGCTTCTATTAATTTAATGCAACTACATAAATAAATTTAAAAGAAAAAAATAAAAAAATCAACATCACATACCTGAAAATGCCATCTAAGTTTGATGATTTCTTCCCCCACCCCATTTGTAACCAATCTGTTGTTCGCCTTCAATAATTCTTGTAACCATATTGGTCTTCCAAAACATAACATATGCCATAACCAATCCCAATTAGGGCTAAGCAAGGAATCCGTAAAATCCGTAATCCGATCCAGTCCAGTCCAATCCGATAGGTTTGGATTGGTTTTTTAAATTCGCGGCTCGGTTCCGGATTGAAGAATTAAAAATCCGTAGTACACGGATTGGTTCTGAATTGAACCCCACGGTTCTGGATTGGAACCGATCCGGACCGTATACAAATAGTATATATTTTTATTATACATCCTCCCCATAGTATCTTCTCTTATTTTATATAAAATCTAAACTCAAACCTAAAACTGTATAATTTTTTCTTTTATTACTTTTGTTTGTTAGTTTTTAGTTTTAATTTGTAATGGTTTAAATACTTATGGTAAAACCAGTTTTCTTATGGTTGTTTAAATTCTAGAACAATACGTCGCTATTATAGAAATAGATGTTGCTATTGTGGAACTAATATAGCGCTATGCTTATATTTTTATGAAATTAAAGTGTTATATATATATATATTTTTGTTATTTAATTATGTGAATCCGTGGTCCTAAACCGATCCAATCCGTATTTAAATGGATTGGTTTGGATTGGTTCCATGATTGAAACGGATTGTATTGGTTCCAATTTTTCAGGAACCGTAGATAACGAATTGGTCCTGGTTTTACCCCAATCCGGTCCAATCCGGACCATGCTCACCCCTAATCCCAATGGCATTCCACATCCATACCCCATCAGCATAGCTTTCCAAGTAAATCCACCTCCAAAATCTGCATCAGCTTCATGTTGAAATACTAGTGGCGGTTGAACTTCTGCCATGCTATCTCCACATTCCCTTGACAAGGGTAGTCCACATAATCCCATGTTCCCAACATATGAATCATTTTGAAATGTATCAAATTGTTTGCCTTGAGGTATAGGCCCAACTAGATGGTTCTTTGAAAGGTTTAGGACTGCAAGAAATGTTAGACTTGTGAGTTGCCCTGGTATCTCCCCCATATAATTGGTTCGAAGAGAGGTCTAACGATTCAAGCATTGATAGATTTCCCATCGATGATGGGATATGACTCGTAAGGCAGTTATGGGACAAATTAAGTAATCGGAGTGCTTGTAGCCTTCCAATGACATTTGGAATCGCTCCTTTGAATTTGTTGTCTGAGAAGTCAATTGCTGTGAAGAAGTATAGAATATTTAATAGTTCAATATTCAACCCCTTTATGACTATCTTTACAGAATCTCGACAATAATTTTGCCCCATGTATTTCAAGGTCATTGTATTTCCATCCACATTCCTCATGGCTTTGAAATTTTGTAAATATCTTGCTGGCAAAAAACCAGTGAACTCATTATGAGAGATGTCTATTATACGAAGCATACAAAAAGGATCTATAGTCCTTGAACTGTTTATAGGACCATGAAATCTATTTGATTTGAGAATAAGAACCTGCAATTTTGGAAGAGAGTCCAGCCAATAGGGGAATGTATCATTTAGTTTGTTGTTTCCCAGGTCTAGTATTTCCATGTGTCTACAATTGGCCAGAGATCGAGGCAGTTCTCCTTCCAAATGATTTCCATTCAAATTAAGATTCCTCAAATGGTTACCCTTATGCTGTGTTTGGTTGGGAGATTTGGAGAGGGATTTGGAAAGGGAAATAGAAAAGGTAGGTGAAATGTAAATAAAATATTTATATATTTCACATAGTTTCACACACATTTTCCCTTTCTCTTTCCAAATCCCTCCCCAAATCCCTCAACCAAACACACCATTAGCGAATGTTGGAATAGTCCCATGAAATCCATTCACCCGTAGATCTAACACCGAGAGGGTTGAGTTTCCCAAACATTGTGGAATTACGCCACTCATGTTGTTATGAGACAAATCAAGGATCTTAAGGGAGCTTGAATTGCAAATCGATAAAGGGATATCTCCGATGAGCTTATTTTGTGAGATGAAAAAGTAAGACACAGCAAGTGGTGGAACTGACAGTGGTCCTTGAAGACAGTTATGAGAAAGATCTAAGAAAAATAAAACTTGCTCTACCCATTTTGGAATCGGACCATCGGAAAGATCTAGTGTTTGGAGATTCTTTGAGTTTCTCATTCATGTTGCAAGAGGACAAATGCAATGTGGAAAGGCTGGGCAATGTACGATTGGTATTATTACCGGCTCTTACTGACAGATTATTCGAAGAAAGATCAAGTAACTCAAGTTTTTTGAGGTTCAAGAATACATGTAGCTCCACACCGCTGAAATTATTGTATGAAAGATTGAGGTTAACCAGGTTAACAAGTTTTGAAATTGACTGTGGAATGGGACCTGTGAGTACATTACTTGATACATCTAAAACAAGAAGTTGTGTCATGTTGGTCACCCAGCATGGGAATTGACCATTGAAATTGTTTTCCCCAAGTAATAAAAACTTAAGGTTTATGAGCTTACCAAAAACATCAGGAATTTCCCCTTTTGGTTAAAGATTTGAGAGTGTAGAAGGGACTTGACCACTGAAACTGTTCCACGATAGATCCAAATGAGCAATTTGTGTAAGATTCCCAAGCGATTTTGGAATGGACCCTAACAATTTGCAATGGGAGAGGCCCAAGTATCTCAAAAACTTGAGATGACCAATTGAATCAGGTAAACTTGAAGATATGTTCACATGGAAAAGCTCTAGTTTTTGCAATTGGGTTAAGTTTTTGAGCAAAATTCTAAAATTGTGTGGTTCAAGGCTTAGTAATCCATCGTCCAAGGAATAGATATCAAATGAAACTAATTTAGACAGGTGGGAGATTTCTGAAGGGATTAAGCCTGAAAATTTGGAAAACGAGAGGTTGAGATGTGTCAAACTTGCAAAGCTGCCAATCCTTGACGAAATATGGGAGTAATTGAAGTCATTGCAAGAGAGATCGAGCATTTTGAGGTGAGAAAGTTGGTAGAGGCTGCTATTGGGATGGATGGTGCCATAGAGTTGGCTAGAACCAAGGTTAAGCCCAGTCACCTGACCTGTTAACCCATCACACGTCACCCCATCCCATGAACAACAATCACTAGCACTCTCGTTCCAAGACAATGTCTTTGGATATGGAAGAACTCCATTATCATTGTTACACAAGACAGAAGCAGAACTATTTATAGTAAAGTGTTGCTAAATTGAAGTAGTGCTGACCTCTGGTCATGAGGACACAAATGATGTGTAGAAGAAAAAGTAGAGAGAGATGACAAACAACCAACCTGATTGAAAGAAATAAGAGAGTGATATTGAGAGAGTAAGAAAACTCTTGTATTCAATATATCTGAAAGTGTAAGAAGAGACTCCATATATAGGAGCTGCTTTATACAACATCATTATGAAAGCAGAACATAAAATAATAGAAAGGAGCCGAAAGCAACCGAAAGTGAAGGCAACCGAATATAATCCTATGCTCCTATGCTCTGTCATCCTATAGCTATATATGATACATTAATATAATATATACATTATTATGATACATTAATATAATATAATATATACATTAATAGCCCCCCTCAACCTCAAGGAGGACAAACATCAACCAACTGGAGTTTGAAGACAAGTTCAACAAAGCGGCCAGGAGAATGAGCTTTGGTGAAGATATCAGCAGGTTGATCAACAGAAGAGATCGGATGAAGATGGACAGTACCACGAGTGACGTGTTGACGAATAAAATGGCAGTCAATCTCAATGTGCTTGGTGCGATCATGAAAAATATTATTGTGAGCAATTTGAAGAGCACTGTGATTGTCACAAAAGAGGTCAGTAGCACCAGAGGGGGTAACACCCATGTCAGCAAAGAGCCAACGAAGCCAGAGAAGTTCTTGAGTAGTATCAGCAAGAGCACGGTATTCGGCCTCGGTACTGGAACGAGCATTAAGAGATTGTTTCTTGCTGTGCCAAGAAATAAGAGAATCACCCAGAAAAAAGCAAAACCCAGTAGTAGAGCGCCGGTCAGTAGGATCGCCAGCCCAATCAACATCGGAGAAAGCACGAAGCTGGAGAGATGAGCGGGCGGAGTAATGAAGACCATGAAACAGGGTGCCTTTGAGATACCGAAGGATACGAACCAAGGCAGCATAATGAGGGGTACGAGGAGCCGACATAAACTGGCTGACAATATGAACGGCATAGGCAATATCAGGACGAGTAACTGTGAGATAGACAAGACTGCCAACCAGCTGACGATATAGTGTAGCATCAGAGAGAAGAGTGCCATCAAGAGGTGTAAGACGACTCTGAGGTTCCAGGGGAGTAGAGGCAGTCTTGCAATTCGTAAGACCAGCACGTGTGAGAAGATCAGAGGTATACTTAGCCTGAGAGAGAAAAGAACCCGTAGAATCATGGAAGATTTCAAGACCCAAGAAATAACTGAGAGGACCAAGGTCTTTCATCTCGAAACGATGGCTAAGAAACTGTTTAAGGCGAAGAATACCATCGATATCATCACTGGTGATAATCATGTCATCCACATAAAGTAAAAACAGGGTGGTCCCTTGAGCTGTTTTGCGGATAAAAAGAGCAGTATCATAAGAGCTGGAGGTGAAACCACATTTCTGAATAGTGGAGCTGAACTTGGCAAACCAAGCACGTGGAGCTTGTTTGAGACCATATAAAGCACGCTGAAGTTTGCAGACTTGATACGAGAGATAAGCAGACCCAGGGGGAGGTTGCATGTAGACCTCCTCGAGAAGAACACCATTAAGAAAAGCATTTTTCACGTCCAGTTGATAAAGATCCCATTGGCGAGCGGTAGCAACAGCAATCAAGCTGCGAACAGAGGTGAGACGAGCAACAGGAGCAAAGGTTTCTTCATAGTCAATACCATATTCTTGGTTGAAGCCTTTTGCAACAAGGCGGGCTTTGTAGCGCTCAATAGATCCATCAGAACAAGTCTTAATTTTGTATACCCATTTGCAGCCAATGGCAGTCTTGCCAGGAGGAAGATCAACAATGTCCCAAGTATGAGTTTTGGCTAAAGCCTGCAATTCAGTAGTCATAGCTTGCTGCCAAAGAGGATTAGAGCGAGCCTCACGATAGGAGGTCGGTTCATAAATAGAAAAAGCAGTAGAACCAACAATAAAGTCACGATGACGAGTAGAAGGTTGGGTTACCCGATGTGGTCGAGCAGAGGGAGGAGGAGCCAGAGGAAGAAACTCAGCAGGAGGGGAGGATCCCGATGGAGCAAGAGCAGGACCATCAAAGGGAGCAGGTGCATGGGAAAAACCGGTAGGCGCAGGTTGGCAGGGGCGGTGGAGTAAACGTATCAGAAAACTCGAGAGAGGTTGGCAAGGGTGGTGGAGTAAGGTCATCAGAAAATAGATCTGTGGAAGGGTCAGTAAAAAAAAGAGAAGGTGAGGGAACGGACAAACGGAAGGGAGAGAGAGAGGAAAACATTTTGTGTTCCCAAAAGACCACATGACGAGAGATACGAAGTCGTTGGGAGAGAGGATCCCAACAACGATACCCCTTATGTTCAATACCATACCCCAAGAAGCAACAAAGGCGGGAACGAGGTTCAAGTTTGGTACGTTCATGAGGTTGGAGAAGAACAAAACAGGCAGAGCCAAAGACCCGAAGGGTGGTGTAAGGAGGACGGGTGCCGTGCAGACGCTCATAAGGAGTGTGATTATAAATGACAGGTGTAGGGATACAATTGATAGTGTAAGCAGCAGTGAGAGCAGCTTCACCCCAAAAATTTTCTGGACAAGAGGAAGAGAGAAGGAGGGCTCGAGTAGTGTCAAGTAGATGCCGATGTTTTCGTTCAGCACGGCCATTTTGTTGGGACGTACCTGGACAGGAACGATGAGGTTGAGTACCATGACTCCTAAGGAAGGAAAGAAAGTCAAAATCTTTATATTCCATGGCATTGTCGGAGCGAAAATGCTAATAAGTTTTAGAAAATATGTTTTAACCATTGTAGCAAAATTATAAAAAGTTGTTTGACCTCAGATCGATTTTTCATAAGAAACAACCATGTAAAAACGAGAAAAATCATCTATAAAAACAACAAATAGCGGGCGCCGCCCATAGTGGGAGTAGGAGAGGGTCCCAAATATCAGAATGGATGAGATCAAATGGTGCAAGAGAAAACAGTCACTTTTATTAAAACGACAAAGCAGGTTGTTGGGCAGTTGACAGGACACACAATCTAAAGATCATGAACTTACAGGACCTAAATGACCACGAGAAATTAAAGATTTTAAACGACTAACAGAAAGATGGCCTAAACGACAGTGCCAAAGCTGAAAAAGGAGATAAAGGAGGAGCAGTGTAGCAGTGGTAAGGAGCTGTGATCTGAAGGAATCCGGAACATGAAGATGATAAGTTCGTAGAGATGTCCATGCTACGGCCGATCCCAAGAGTTTGCCCCGTCCGAGGGTCCTGCACCAAACAACCAGTATGGGAAAAGGTAACAGTTAGACCATGCTCACATAATTGACTAATGGATATAAGATTTAAAGTGAGAGTAGGCATAAGATAGACATGAGATAAAGATAAGTGAGAGGTGGAAACAGAACCAATATGACTTACAGATAGAAGAGACCCATCAGCAGTATGGATAGAAGGAACAGGAGAAGTAGAAGAGAGAGGAGTAAAAATAGTAGGGTCAAAGGTCATATGATTACAACAAGCGGAGTCAAAGTACCAGGAAGTGTTACCTGCGGTGACAGACAAAGCAGTAGATGGAGGAGTACCGGAATTCTGCTAAAAATGGTGAAACATGGCGTCGACATCTGTGTGAGAGAAGACTGGAGTGGAAGGATCTATAGGGACAGAGGCAGGTAAATCCTCTGAGGCAGCAGCAACAGTGCGTTGAGCAGGCATTGGTTTAGACGGAGTCCCAGAACGGTGAGAGTTGTTGCGGGAAAAATGCCCGGGGGAGGGACCATTGCGAGAGGCACGGGCAGGGTTGCGGAAGCAATCATGCTGGAGATGACCAGGACCAGTCTTGTTGCAAAACCGACAAAGACGAACCGGACAATTAACCAGAAGATGAGTCGACGGAAGACTGCGGTTTTGACAGTAGTTGCAGATAGGTGTCTTCTGTGGGAAAGATGGTGAAGGAGAACTTCGAATCTGGGGAGTAGCAAGAACAGAGTCCACAGGGTGTGGATGGAGAGTACCAAGCCTGGTTTCCTCTGACAGGAGTCCAGAAATTGCTTGCTTAAGAGTGGGTAAAGGAGTGCGATGAAGGAGAGATGTGCGGACTGGCTCAAAACGGGGAGTGAGAGCCACGAGAAACTGAACCAAGCGTTGTTAGTCACAGTAAGTAGTAAACAAGGCAGCATCCTTAGTACAATCCCATGGAGGTTCAGAGAGAACGAGCTGATCCCAAACATAATACATTTGTG